AGGCAATTAGAAGGCTTAGAAGTCTCAAATGTAGACAGACCCTCAAAGGCCCCGCTAAGCACAGCTTTCTTGCAGTGCATCCAATGCTGCTTTCTGTGCGGCCTGCAGGGGGCGGTGTGGGCTCAGCCCTGCCCCAGGCGCTCCCATGCAGCTTTCAGCGGGCTCTAGACTTTCCCAGCCAGAAAACCTCTCTCCCCATGGACCCCAGCGAGGAGTTACAGGCCCGGTCCACCCTCCCTGCCTCAACGTCTCTTTGTCATCACCACCCTCACCTCTAACCCTGCATCCAGTTGCTTCCAAACGTCATCCTCCCTCTTTCCCACCAGCTTTCAGCAACAGCCTCGATCCCAGGCTGTGCCCAAAGCCCCTTTCCAGCAAAAGGCTCCTCCTTTAATAGTTTGGGCCCCCTCAGTGCTCATCTCTCCAAAATTCTAACCCCTAACAGCACCCTCAGTCCACTGGGCTCCACCCCCTCACTCACCCCAAAGTGATGACATTGCTGTTACCTTGGTAACAGATGCCTTGTGGGTGGGTGGGGGGAATGGACTAGAGAAAGAAAGCAGTGGCTTCGGGACACTGTCAGAGCCATGGGAGGTGGGTAGGGGGCAAACTGACGCAGGGCCTGGGAGGGGCTGCCAGGGGTGCTGACCCGCCCTACCGTGGCTGCGGTCAGCCCTATGTCCCCAGCCTCAAGGGAAAAAGAACAGGATAGAAGGGGACATTCTTCCTGGAAAGAGAGATTTTCTTCATGGAGGAAAGGGAAACATCCCCAACCCCACCGTCCCCCTCCCACAGGAGCAGGTCTCCTGGGCTTGGCAGGGGCCAGGGAAGGGATTGCATATACTGGAGCCCAATTTGTTCCCCTCCAGGGAGCCTGGGGCACAGAGAGCGGGAACAGCTCACCCAGGGCAGGCGTATTAGGGACAATGCCACCAGCAGCGGGAGGGTGGCTCTATGCCAGTGTCCTGAGCTCCTGGGGTTGGTGGCAGCAGGGGGTGGAGGGGCCCTCCTCCAGCCCCTGGGGACCTGGCTGTCCCAGATGCCACAGACGGGAAGTGTGTCAGGCACTTGCGTAAGAGCCTTCTATATTTCCATAAAGTCGTAATTACTGAGGCCTGCCATGGGCCTTAGCTCATTACAGTGGTATCTGCCTCTGGGCCCCAGGGTGGGCTGGCTGGCAGGGGCAGGTGGGGGAGACTGGACAAGGCCAGGCCACTCATGGTGTTCTCGGCATCCCTAGCCCCACCGGTCCCTCTTCCTCTCCCCAGCTAGGAGATGAGAGCC